TTTTTTTTTTTTTTTGGCTGAACCAGGGATTGAACTAAGGCCCCTGTGCTTGCCAGGGAAGCGCTTATTCTACTGAGCCATCTCCCCGGCTCTTAATCCTTTTATCAGCGCAGTTTAAAATTGGAGAAATGATGGTCCTTAGTATATGTTCACCTTCCTTTGTGCACCTCCTCCATTCCCCAGGCCACTGCTTCCTGGGTATCCAAAGCCACTGCAAGCTAAATCTTTTCTGTACTTGCCCTGTCTTTGGAAACTATTTTATTATCTTTTACAACCAAAACTACCATTTATCCTAATATTAGTTTGATGTTAAAATGAGAGCAGTACTGTTTGAAGAAGTCACTGGCAACCCAGTAATAGTTCCAGCTTGTTTTGCCATCAGACCAAAGGAGCTTTCCATTCACAGGGGGCTATAACTAGTGGATTTGATATTTTTCCATGCTACTGAATTTTATCTTTCAAGTTTTAAAAGTTTTAAAGACAGTGTAACAATATTTAGAGACCAATTTGAAAATTACTGTCCTTGATTCCCCAACCCCTATTATTTTAGTCTTTTTGATGAACATGTTCTTTTATAGTTGTTATTACCAGTATATTTGAGAGTAGTTGTAATTCTCAGCAGCAGTTAAAAGACAGGTGACACTGTCCTACAAAATGTTGAGGTATTTATGTAAAGAGGCTACTGGAGAAACTGGCCTTGGTTTTGCTTCTTCCTGTAGGGTCCCCTGCCAGGACTTACTCCTAGCAAGATGTTCACCCTGGATTAGATCTTCCCACTGTTTTAGTCTCCCTGCTTCACTTCTGAATCCACAGCAGCATCCTAGCTTCCCAGCTTCCCAGGTTCCCAGCTTCTTTAAAATGCCAGCTATTTTCTCACAAATGCTCTGCTGGTCAGTTAGTACTAGCAGACCTCTCCTAAGCCCTCAAATTTTTAAGACTCTTTCATGTTTCTGGTAAACATGGATTAAGTACCAAGAAGTTTTAATGTATTCCAGACAGGATTTAGTTCTCTTATCTATATAGTTATTTTTTGGAAAGGCATTTTCACTTTATAACCATCCAAATTTATTAGCTTCCCATTTGGCTTGTCGGGATACCTAGTTGCTACCTAAAATAGAGTTTCTGACTTTTATTGGTATTATACATTGAATATGACTTTTTAAAATGAATTTAGGACAGGGTCTGCAGGGTGTACAGGGCCTCACTATATAGATAGGACTCATAGTGATTCTCCTGTTTTCAGCCTCCCAAGCTCTGGGATAAGCGATGCGCACCACCATGCCCAATCTCAATCACCATCTCAGCGTGCCCCAGGGGCAGGGCTAGCACAGAAGGTCCGGGGATCGAACCTGGCCGCTGTGCTCTGCCTAAGTAGGCACTTTAGTCTGATGAGCTATTTGGCCGGCCCTAAATATGCCATAATTAAGGGCATGTCACTGGAATATTCCTCAAGTGCAAAGCAAGGAGGGACCATTGTGATGTAATAAAATCAAGAATGTTGACACTGTAGTAGTTAGCATGGAAATAAGGGAGGGATGTATGGGGGAAACATTTCTGTGGAAGATAGAATTCTGGGTCTGGTCATTTACTGGATACAGAAAAGTAGGAACACTGATCCTTGAAAGGAAATCTGTTTAATTTCTTCTTGGATCCTCTAATAAGTCCTAATACCCTTAATTTTAAGTTAGTTGAAGATTCCTGTGAGGATTTAGGCAAGGATTCCCACAACAACGTGGTGCTGCAATTGGCAAAAACTGGAAAGGAGGGTATTTCTCAGGCTTTACTTACTTCCTCTTGCTTATGTATCATAAGACTCCAGCCTTAAGCGATCTCTGGCACTACTAGTCAACATGCTACTCAACACACAGGCTTACTTCTGTCAGTCGTGGCATGGTGGGGAGTGCGAGTGAAGACGCCTCACTGCTGAGTGTCCTCCAGCACTTTTCTTGCCTGCACCATACCGTGCTGGAATTCCGCAGCCTCATCATGTCCTGTTGATGATTTTGTGCTGCATTTGAAGTTGGCTACTTACATGTAAATAAAAACTCTCTAAAACATCACAATTGATCTGATGGATGTACCGAGTTCTTCAGATTCTTCTGTTCATGCCTTACTATCCTTATGTATTATTTTAATTTATCAAATATGCACACATGGCTGTATTTCCAGAGCAACTCCAGAATTCACTTAATAATCGTATGCTATATACTAGCAATGAAAGCTAATAAAAATATCTCAGTTCATAAAAGGGAAAGAGTAGAAAGTAAATTCATTCTTTGAAAATCTCATTATGTGATCTGAGCACTTAATGCATGCTGTGTAATTCTTCTATAAATTGTATGAAACAGATGTTTTTATTTTATAAATAAGGAAATCAAATTTCAGAAAAGTTCAGCAGCTCACACTAAGACATATACCCCTTTCTGATCCCAAAGCCAATGTGCTTTCCAGCTTACCAAGCTACTTAAGATAAAACCATGTGAGGAAAGAAAATCAATTTTTAAAAAGATTGAATGTGACATTATTATTCACCTTACATCTTAATATTTGAGAAGAAGTAGGCTAGAGAGGTATATTAAGAACTTAAAACTATTTGGGGACATTTTCAAAGTAACTTCTGGCTCCAGGTGGGATGGATGTCAGAGACTCTTTCACTAATGTGTTACATTTCATTTCTGCACATAATTGCTCTCCTTTTCTTTAATACGGGAATCAACTAATACTACCTTTAATACTTACCTGTTTTAATTAGGGACGTTTGGGGGATTTATAAGTAGAACAGAATGAGATAGTCCTTTGGATAATTATTTAGAAATTGAAAGAAAAGCAGAAAGGCAAAGGAGAACTAAAAGAGAATGCAGAAGGAAGTAAAATTGCCCCAAGTGGAATTGGCCAAGGGATTAGTAGTAGTGGTGAAAAAGATCATGTGAAACATAAACATGGAGAAGAGAAAAAGCTGTGATGAGAAGGAAATATTGGATACAGATGTTTTAGTGGCTATAAAAAGATATCGTGTTCTCATGACAGATGTTTTAGTTTCTATAGTGGTTGAAGGATTGTAGGAAATAGAGGGACACTTGGGTACCTGCTTGGTTCTTCTCTGTCCCATAAAAGGGATATATGTACCTTAGAAGGATTCTATGGAGATAAGTAATAAACTTGTAAGATTAGCTGGTCTGCAAGTAATTAATTGAAGTAATTATTTACATTAATTTCAGGTGGTTTTCTCACTGGTGTATAGTTAGTTTGACAATAGTTTGTTGTAACGGTGGTTAGTTCATTTAAAATAGGATTCAATCTTAGATGGGGTACTAGGATATTTGAATTTAAAACATTTGTGTCAATTACTGGGATGGAGCTCACAATTGAAATTATAAAGTGCATAGTCCCATGAAAACACTTAGTCCCATGAAAATACTTGTGCCTATGATTATACTTATGATTTCATAGACATTGAATATAAAACGTGTGTTTTGTCCAAGTGATAAATTCTGTTCCATTTAGAATATATGGTGTAGAGTTAATGTAATTTCATATGCAAAATAAAATGCTCATAAAATTTTTATGTGTTTGTCATAGATGGATGAAGTTGGAATCACAGAATATGTAAAAGGTGACAACCGCAAGTTTGAAATCTGGTATGGTGACAAGGAAGAAGTTTATATTATACAGGTTAGTCATCATAAAATTATTCTAAAAACCTTAATCTGCATTAAGATGTACAAATGTTAATTGGAGAAAATAATTTTCATCATATTTCAAAAAATCTCATTCTGCCAGTTGTGGTGGTGCATGCCTGTAACCCCAGCACTCAGGAGTCTGAGGAAGGAGAATTGCTGTGAGTTTGAGACCAGCCTGGGCTACAAAGTCAGCTCAAGGCCAGCCTGAACTGCACAGCAAGATCCTGTATCAAGAAGATTAAAAACCTCACTCTTTTCACATAGATCACTTGCATATTATTTGAGTATATTTAATAGTGTACTTAACTTTTCTTCTGATAGCGTATTTTCTTTAAAATAAGGTACTCTTTTGGTTGAGGTGTCCATAGTGCTTTAAGTTTGCATAGGTATACTAGGAGATTTATTAACTGTCGCTGACAGCTCAGCAGGTGCTTTTGTGGTCTCATCAAGTTTCCTGAGTTGTGGAATTGTCTTAGTTTTGAGTTCCCTTGGTCCTCAGCATTTAAAGGGCTCCTGTTCACAAGACACAATGATATTACAGCTCAGCTTTGCTCTGTGGTTCTAAAGGGTATGGTTAAAGCTCTGCCCAGAAGAGGGGTAGGGTCCACCCTCTTGATTCAGGGAAGGTGAGAGGAAACAGAGTGTTTCAAGCAGGTGATGCCATAAACCTTTGAGTAATGACTTGTGACTCCTCCACATGCTGTCATCTGTTGCAAATGCAGAATATTTTCTTTAATTGTTTCCTTAGTGACTATAATCCCTAAGAGTACTTTGTACTGATTTGCTTTAAGACAGAATACTTGGTAAAATTTAACACACCTATCTTGTAAATAATGGGATGATATTTAAGGGAGCATTCATGTTTCCTCAGTCACTAAGATTATTCTGTCAGAAATTTTAGACCTTGCTTTATTTTACCAAAATAAGACAGAAAAATATTTATTTTTTCAAAAGAACCTTTCCTGAAAAAAGAAAAATAAATTAAATTTTATGTTCCATTTCATTCAGTTGTTACTCCACTTTTAAGGGCAATTTTGAAATAATTTTGAGTGCATTATTTCATCAAATCAGATGGCTAATGACTAGCTTCTTAGACATTTTAAAGTCCAAAAGGCCAGAAGTTGTATGTAGTGTTGAGGGAACAGATCATGTTTGATATACTTAATTATGTTTGTCCTATTATAAAAGCATTATTTTTAAAGCATATATATCTTCCACCTTTCTAAAAAACATCTTTAGGCTCCTAACATAGATGTGAAGATTTTATGGTTAAAAGAACTAAGAAATATTTTGTTGAAGCAACAGGAGCTTATGACAGGTAAGTACAAATATGCATTCATCAGAACAGGAAGTATAGCAACATCACATTAACTAAGATTTCATGACATCTGCAGATAATGTAAATATTTAATTTATTTATAATGAACAAGTTTGTTAAATAAATAAGTGGGAAATTAAGATTCAGAGTGTCATTTAAATTATTTATACTACAAAATAAACCTTAGTGCTTGGGAAACAACACATTGATCTGTTTAATTCCCAATCCCTCACACAAGACAAATTGCTCAGGACCTCAAGGAATCAGTGCCTGATAAGTTCAAGATAGGGAGTTGGGTATTGGTTCCACTTGTTGATGTGGTTTGGATCTTTTCCAATAACAAGTTTAAACCATCCTTCTCACTCATTATTTCAAGTCCTTTGACTTGTGTGTGTGCAAGAGTGTGTGTTTGTGTGTAAACCGGGGGGGGTAGAGAGAAAGAGAAAGAGAAAAAGACAGAGAGAGAGAGAGAGAGAGAGAGAGAGAGAGAGAGTCACTGACATACATGGGATTAGAAAGTGGAGCTTCTGAATGATACTTTTATAAGCTTTATTTTATTTCATAGTTAAAAAACAGGTGCAACGGAATCGGTCAGCAGAACAGAATCAACTTTCTCCTCAGCGGAATGATGAGTAAGTAATAATTCTTTAAAACTATCACTCCTATAATCTTCTCTTTTCTGTGTGTAATGGGACACAATGTAAAGTATCTCAGACAGAAGCAGACCTGCCATTTTAGCAGTGACTCATCCGATTCCACCAATACATTATCTCACTTCTAGCCATGTACTTATTGGTGCCTGCTGGTCCTTCATGGCTATCCCTCAGACTGTTCATTAAAAGCATGATTAAAATGGTTTGTTCTCAATATTATCATAAGATTTGCAAGTAAACATGCAGTAAAAATGGCTGCACTTAATTGGTTTCTTATCCAGGTATTTTTGGTTACTTTCCATCTGACTGGAGAAAGACTTGGAAGAATGTGGAAAGAGGTCAGACAAAGGACTGGCTCCCCACTTTCAGTCCCTTGATGGAGAGTACTTGCGAGCTGTTTGGCCATGGTTAGAGAGGAAGTTAGAATCCGGAGAAGGAACTGATCCTAAACACAAGTACAAGGTCCTTAAAGAAGGTGGAACTTCCATATGATAACACATGGCTGTTGGTTGAGAGATGCAGGCTTTATATTCTGCTTTTAAGAATCCTAGAAGCTAGAAAGTCCACACCACACTTCTATATATGCAGAAAGGGTTTCTTCACTGATTCCAGAATCCTAGCAAAGAGATTCATCATATAGTATCCACATTATTTAGGGATTGTTGAATGACTTACAAGAAATATTGTGTTTCCCTTTTGACCATTGTCTTTTAGAAGTAACTAGAATCAGAAGAATGTGGCTCTGAGTCTCATCTGTGATTTCAGGAGTACCCAATTCACTACTCTGTCTTTTATCCTACAGTGTAGAAGCAAAGACTTTAGTTTGCATGTAGGAGTTAGCTTAATAGTGGATGGTGCAAACTCAACAGTATGAGGCATAATCCACAGTTTCAGGCTTGCTCTTTGTTTATATACACTTTGCCTAATTCATTAAAGATAAAAATCCACAGCACCAGAATAGTCATATAAAACATGACCTGCTTTGGGTCTAGAATGAACTGATTTCTCCCTTTTCATAAAATAGAACCTGCTGGCTTAGGCCCTAGGATTTAAGCTTCAGCATATTATGAACTATTGTCACACAGCTGTTTGAGTAACTCACAGAGCTTGTTCTTAACACATGATATCAGTGGAAGACATAAAATTTTTAACTTCTTACTATTCTTAGGGTGGTGTATAGAAGCTCTTTTATTGTAGCTCATTGATATTTCAGAAAACAACTGGCAGCTTGTGCAAGTTTTGAAGAAACTGAATCTGGGCACATTGGTCCTATGGTGGAGCGCAGTGCGGCAATCATGTCAGTTCAGGCAGAAGCAAATGCAGGTATGCATCGTGGGCATCCCAAGATGAGATGCATGGCTGAGCAAGTTCCTATTTCTAGTTGGTAATTTGTGAAATCGGTCCATCTGTTATTGTTGTGTAAAGAGAAAATAAAGTCATGCCAGGTTAATAAGGCTCATGTCTGGCCTATGCAAAATACCCGGGTGGGCACTATAGAGCAGTGGTTGTCAAAGTGTTGCCCCTGGAGCAGCAGTGGCAGCATCACTTGGACCTTGATGCATGGAAGGAAATTCCTTTGGCTCTTTCTGCCTTAGACATTAAGAAGCAGAAACCTTGGCTGGGCATGAACCCAGCCATCTGAATGTTGCCCATCCTTTATGTGATTCTGATCTATGTTCAAGTTTGGGAGCCCTTGTAATAGAGGATGTAGAGAGAATAAAACATGCATTGGTTTCAAGCAATGCACTTTTCACTTCCTCTTAGATTAATAGATAGGATTAATTTACAACTGGAATGTTTATTATTCTTATGAAAATGGTACTGTTTGAGGTGATTTTTAAACATTTATGTAATTCAAGAAGTGCTAATGTAAGATGACCTGTATGTTCATAATTATGCAAATCACTGGGCATAATGTCTAAGGTACATCCAGCCACCATTTTCATGACATTAATAAAGTAGATAGGTAATTTAACAAGCAATTAAAATAAAATGTGGTAAGCATCCCAATAGGGAGTCAAAGATACCATAGAAGCACAAAGTAGGATCCCCTAAATAACTCTGGCATCAGAAGCATAGACTCCTCTGAAGAAATACCAGAGTGCCTGGTACTCAGGACTTATATACAATGATCTCGCAGCTTCCCAGTAGTTGAGAAACAGTAGTGATGACCTCACTCAGTTTTCCACTATCCACTTCCCTTGGGTTGGCCCCCACAACACTCAGGAGAGGACCTACACATTAATTTGATAGGTGTGGAAACCAAGTCAGAGATAACTGACATGACCTTCTCAAAGTTACAGGAATAGTTTAATATGGCCAAGATGAGATCCTGCTAATTTATCAGACTACTTAATCTAAGTCAACTGATTTTGTAAACAAAATCAAGTACTGCTTACCATGCAGGGTCTTATAGGGCATCTAATGTGTGATACGACATCTCCACCATGTAGCAGAGATAAGCCAAACCAAAATAATATCAGGCAGAAGCTAAAAGGACTATTTGCATGTAACCAATACAATTGTGTAAGAAAAGGTAAATATTCTCTGAAATGTTATTTAACTTAATACTTGTAACAACTTTCCCACCATTCTAAAAACTAAAAAGAGAATGTAACATCCAGCCATTTTGTAACATACCAGTAGTTCCAAACTAGTACAGCTTAATGGGCAATGTTATCATATAGTGCAAGATCCTAGTCAGAAGGATATGGCCTTAAGAATTACAGTTAGATTACTTCTCACCTGTGATGAATCAGAATCTTTCAGTAATGGCTGCACTCCACATTTCTCTTGTAGTTTGGACTGAGAAGTCACAGTCTACAGAAAATCCTGAAGATCCGGAGGAATGGCCTAACAACTATTTCTACTCTGCTTATGATGGCAATGAAGAGGGAGACAGGCCCTTACCGGTTAGTAATGACATGTTAAAACTGTTGAGGCAGTGATATTGAGGAAAAGATTGACAAACAATCTTTTGTCAGTTTCCTAAAGTCATTAGCTACATTCTATATGCAAAACATTTAAAACATATCGTATCTTATTATGAATGTGCATTAAATACATCTTTCTTTATCTAGAACCCAATTGAGCTATGCATGGACAGCCAGTGAAATTGATGAAGCAGTCAATCTTTCCAAATGTCTACAAATTGGCTTGTTTTATCTTTTTTTAAAGTAGGGTGTTTCAGTATTTCTCTATGTTTATAGGATTTTCTTTAAATTTTTATTTTAAAATAATTCGTAAATTCACAGAAATTGGCAAAAATAGTACAGAGCATTCGCGTGTACCATTTGCCCAAGGTTTCCCTAATGGTAAAATCATGAATAGTTATAGTAAAATATCAAAACCTGGGGATTGATACTGGTAATATCCATAGACCATATTCAAATAGATTTCATGGGCTGGGGAGATAGCTCAGTAGGATAAATGCTTGCCTGGCAAGTGTGCCTCCTGGCAAACATAAGGTCCTGAGTTCAATCCCTGGTACTGTGCTCAAAAACAAAACAAAGAGATTTCACCAGTTTTTCATGCACTTATTTATGTGTTTATGTGTAGCTCTATGCAATTTTACACATCACTGTGTTTTTCAGACATGTAAGAATCAGAGAGAATAAAGAAGCTTCAAATATACCATAGAAATTAGTATAGATTCTAGACTGGAAAATATAGGAGATAAAAATTACGTGCTGTGGGTCAGGGAGATGGCTTAGTAGAATAAGCACTTCCCTGGCAAGTGTAAGGGCCTGAGTTCAATCCCCGGTTCCACCAAAAAAAGAAAAAAAATTAAATGCTGCAAAAGGACTTCATAACCTCCAGGAAATATATTCCAGCAAGTTCTCAAAAATGTGCTAATGATACCCAATATCAGCATACAGAGCACGGAAGTGGCTTTAGGGAATATAACTGTTTCAAAGAAGAATTCCTTTCCAAGTAGCCAGGATCCTGCTGTGTTATTGGAGGGCAGTTTGGACCACTTAGGGGAACTCCCTGCCCTTCAGAAGGCACCAGCTTGGAGGATGGGAGTGCTGCTTGGAGGAGGCCTGCTCCCTGCTGTCTTTTAGAGGAAGCCCTTCATTTTAGAAGGTCTACCATTGGTGTGAGAGACCAATGGTGTGTGTACTCGCAAGGCTGTACAGCATCAGCTCTAAAATTCTATCTTTAAACAAGTAATAGATTGTTTGTCTTCTCATAATATGATGAGCATAATCCATATTTGTATGATAGTTTACAGTTTACCAAATGATTTCTCAACATTACCAGTATATATTGGTGTGAGAAAGGTCCAATTCTCTTACCTATAATTTACAAAGGGAAAACTGAGACTCAGAGATGGGAAGAGATGTCTAGAGAGTTAAAGGAATGCTTTATCTTCTTAAAAGTTCAGAGCACCAAATAACTCTTAACTCATACAGATTAACTTTGTTGATATTTCCCTTACTATTAAAACTGAGGGGCCAGCAAGATAGCTCAGCAGACTCAGTGCCTGCTTAGGGAAGCGCAGGGACTAGGGACCACATGCCACACTGAGCCCACCACGCAGTGCTCTTAGCCGGCCACCAAGACCAGGCATGGTGGTGCACACCTATAATCCTAGTGCTGGGGAGGCTGAAAACAGGAGGATCCTGAGTCCAGGCTGAATAGTGATACCCTGTGCCAAATACATTAAAAATATTAAAACTGGGAAATAAAAATACATTTATTTTACATTATTAATAAGCCCATTGTAAATGTGTATAACATTTTTATTAAAAGTGACATTTTTCTAAACAAATGAGTAAAGATAATAGCATTTAAATACTTTTGTAAATCTCTAAGACAGCTGAATACTCATATCTGGTTTTGCATTTAATTTGTTGTGCTATCACATGTTGGACAACCTCTGGAAAAGTACATTGTGTTGTAAAAAAGGCAGGTAATGCCTTAATGTATTCTTGATTTTCATATCCCTTGAAAGGATCTCAGGAATCTCAAAGGTCTGCCTCCCTTACTTTTAGCAATAAAATACTAATTTCCCTAATTAATATTATCTGCAAATTAATTGGATTGGAGTAGTAGGCAGTTCAGATATGGACAAAAGGCCAGAGAGAGACAGTTTGTGTTTAAAAGTTTGTTATAGATGACCAGAGAAGGAAGGAATTCTTGAGAACTGAGCCTTCAGCAAGCATTTTTCTGACTATGAAGTCACCAAATAGAGTAAATGTGCAAAATTTATTTATGTTTATGGGGGAGGGGAAGAGAGGAAACTTCTTAGTTTTCTTCTTCTCCCAATAATTTGATGAGTTGTACTATTAAAGAAATCATACAAAAGAGCAATGTAATGTGTTGGACTTCTCACTCCATAATGAAGTTGGAATGAGCTTCTCTCCTTTGGCTTCACTTTACTAAGGTGAAAACTGAGAAGTAATGGATTCCACTTCCCTTGCAGAGACCCGTGTCGGATATGGCTCTCCTGTATTGATGAAGCTACTGAGTCAAATGGCAAGTAGCTCTTTCCTGCCTGCTCTTCAGCCCATGTGGAAAAAACACTGCTCAAAGGACATTCAGCCCAAATGATGTGGCTATTATTTCAGGTTATTTCCTTTGGACTTGCAAAATATCAGCAGCACATATTTTTTCTTCTGTTTTAAAAAGTTTTAATTATGATACTCTATATCTTTAAAATAGTGTATTAAATGTGTAAGATTCTGGAAGAATTCTCATCTCACAATACTTTTGGACTTACAAACTGTTTCTTCTCTGTATCTTTGTAACCAAATGCAATCCGTGTGCCTTGGATTATTTAGCTTATTATGAACTAAGTTAAAATTATGGCTGCAAAATGATTAAGGTCAAGTGAAGCACAATATTATGATTTAATAGGCTTTCATTGGATCTAGAGCTTTTGTGCCCATTATTTTAACCTGTGCAAAATGATATAAAATCCAGAAATCCTCTTGGGGGGGATTAGTAAATTTTGTTCAGAGCTATTGCCTTTTGTATGTGCCAAGATAAAATTTTCATAAGAGTAGTTTACAAATAATTATATTTCAAATTTAATATTTTCATTCTTTTTTCTGGATTTATGCTTATAATTCATGTAACAAATGAATTGTGCTCTATCATTTTCTGTACATTTCATGCTGTATCTATCTTTTTCAAAATAAAAATGAACTCTTCAGGTTATATAAACCCATGTTCTCTTTCCTTTTTCCATCATAAATTGCTCGTTCGGGGCTGGTGAGATGGCTCAGAGGTCTAAAGCACTTACCTAGAACAAGCTTAGCAAAGCA